CACAGGAAAGAATGCATTTTTTCTTTTTGTTTGCCATATCGTTAATTATTTCAGGAAGTAATTTAAACGGTTACGTAAGCAACGATATTGATAATATTCTTTCTTCATGTCTTAAAACTGATATTTTTCACTTATGTCTGAAACTAAAGGTAAATTATACAATATCATTTATTTAAATATTAAAGTAAAAATGTTTATTCGAAATTACTTACTGTTAAGCAATTATATCTTTACAAAATCTTTTTTTATTGGGCTTAGTCTTTTCACATTTAAAAGTATTTAATTCACTGTAATATGACTGTTGAGCAACTCATTTACAGAATTTCACAGCTTGTAGATATTTTTAAATTGTAAATACTTCTACTAGTTCATCGAAATGAATGCTAGTCTTAATACACACTTAAACATAAAATCTGCCACCTATTTCTTGTATTTTTTTTTACTATTTCTCTTGTTGTTTTCTTGTTCTTTATTTCTCATGTTCTTTATTTCTCTTGTTCTTTTTGATTTTTAAAACAAACACGTTACATTTAAATTTTACAGGTAGAATTAATAATGACATAATAGTTTGTAGAAAAACAGGTTAAAAGTAAATTTTTACATGGATGTTAATCATGTATTTTATCTTCATTTTGAAAAAAATAATTTTGTGGTTTTTTGAATTCTATAGCTATGACATTTTAAATCACTGTTTTTATAAAGAGATAAAAAATAAAATAAAAAACGTGGAACTTTTGTGTGTTTCTTGATGCATATATGTATAAAAAAATTTTTTTAAAAAAAGAGACAGATTGATTGATAGATTGAAAAATAGAGAGGGAGTTCTTTTAAAGAGTTGATTTTAATTAATACAAAATTTATTCCAGCATTTTAAATGTTATTACTTTTTACATATAAACTAACCTCCAAAATATGAAGAAAAATAAAAATATTTTAATTTTTAAGAAATAAATTAGAAACAGCTCATTATTATTATTTACACAAAGGAAAAAAAGCTTCAGTTTGTTTCAGTTCAGTTTGTTCAGAGTTTCAGTTTGTGTTTTAGCTTTTGCTCCTTTTTCCAGGATTTGTAGGACGTTTAACACTCATAGATGTAATGATAACGCTAGCGAACGTTATTTTTTTAAATCTTATTTATTTATTTTTGTTTTCTGTTGCATGAGATTTTTTGCATATGATTTCAAATCTGCAATCGGTTTCAAACTACCGTTTCTTATGACATTTTTTGTCTATTTTTTGTGAAAATGTACAAGCTTAAAGACGTTATACCTACCGGTTGCATAAATGTTGTGAAAATAATTCTAGAGGAGTTAGGGCACATCATGAGGATTAAAATTTTTGAGAAACCCATGCCCGGAAACATAGTCAGACGCCGTTAGAGGCTATTTCTTCGTGTGCTTCTTAACAAGTTAGTAAGGAAGCAACCCTAGCCGTGTATGACAACATTTCCTGGCATGGGTTCCTAAGCAATTTTAATCCTGATAATGTGCTCTAATATCCCTATAAGTTAGTTTCCGCATTTACTCGACTCCTTAGCTTTGTAATTTTGAACCAAACGTAGAAGAAAAGCGAAATCCTGGATTAATCGTTGGGACAAAATAGCCTTCGTGGATAACTTTTTGAGGGAACTAATCCGAATTTGCGGTACATGGAGAGGAAAACAACGAAACTGTTAGTCTCAAACGGATATCCCGACAGCAAAAGGATTCTGAGCTACGATCAATCTACCACTGAGGATATTTCATGTCTGCACTGTGGTCGATTCGAACTGGGAGCAAAATTCGTATCAAACAGTCACCGTTGGGATTCGAACCTGGGTCATCTCATTGGGAGACGAACGCTCTATCTCCTGAGCAACCGCTGCTCAACATGTATAGATATTGCTACGGAGTTAAACATTGATAGTCGTAAACTCAGAATTGGGACAGCTGTTCAATGCTGGTTATATTATAAAATAAAATAAAACATTTGCGCAAATGTTATAAATAACGTTTTTAAACTTGTACATTTCGACATAAAACACACTAAAAATGTCTTAAAAAACTCTGCATCTTTAGGAGTAAAACTAATTTAAAATCTCCACAGCTGAAATATTTGTATAAATGCAATAAAAAATTAATTCTCCAGTGAAATTTTCCCTTTACTCACAGGTATACACATTGCAACCTGCAACAAGCCTACTACCATGAAGACCATTTTGCAAGAGTAAAGCATAAATTGACCTTGTATTTTTGGTCTTCTATCACCTAATTTTATGCAATTTTTGAACATTCTGAAACTTATTTTCAATTAAAATCTTTACTTAAGTTGAATTTTTCTTAGCATATGTTTGGTTTAACACTAAAAAAATGTACAAAAAAGTTTTTTGACATTAAACTAAACATTTATTAAAAAGTTCTTTGTACATTTCAATTTTAAAAGAAATGCTTTACAATTCATCTTAAGTATTTTTATATTCTTTAACGCGAGACAAATGACATATGTTTAAGAACGTAACAGAATAGCATACCTGCCAACTTTTACGCATTTTGCGTAAAATTTTACTTCTATATTTAAAGTGGTAGTAAAATGTATGCTTTCTATATATTCGTTACATTTATAAACTTAATTTATAATCTTTTTGACCACCACTATTTTTAAAAAAATTGAGCACAGAAAATTCATTTGACAAAAAAAATGGATTTGACGAAAACATTTGACGAAGAAATATTCATTCTATTCCATGCCTGCCAACATATGTAATACTGTTGTGGTAGTTCGCATAAACCTTTTCAAATACAGCATATGTTTCTGCATAAAATTGCAATTTAAATTCCATATTGCTACCACTGAGGAGAATCATTCTCGAAAGGATTAAAAGTTGGCAGGTATGAAATAGAATTAATATTTCTTCGTCAAATCCATTTTTTTTTCCAAATGAATTTTCTTTTTTCAAAAAAAAAAAAAAAATCTTTANAAAAAAAAATCGATTTTTCTAGCAAGTGTTTCTTTCTGTCGAAGACAGAAAAATTAAAATTGATGGAATTTGACAGAAAAATTAAAAGGGCAATTGCGCAATCAACTGTGACTTATAAGAAGTAATCAGACACTTTAGAATTCCGTCTGCTTAGAATTCAAAATTGAACTAAAAATTAAAAGAAAAAGTTTATTGACAAATTTATTTGATTTAAGCTTCTTTTCAAAATTACTAAATAAATTATTTATTCAACGAACTAGTAAATAATACACCGGTTTAGAGCAATCTGTAAATGAATGTTACTGAAAATGATATAGTCATTGTTATCAGCTTATTAGAAGATAATCCCTATTCTACAAGATTACAATTTTCCTTTTTCTCTTTTTAATCCGTGCTTAACTCGTGCTTCTCAATGCAATTTTATTCTCGAATTAGCCAATAATAACTTACTTAAAATTGAATCGAAACTTTTGATTAAGATGAATTTGTTAAAAAAAAACACTTTTTTCAAATATATTTGAAGAAAAAAAACATGTTTTTTTAATTTTGTGTGTTAAAAAAACGTGTTTTTAAAAAAATCAAGTAAAAAAAAACATGTAAAAATCACTTAAAAAAGCATGCACGTGAAAAAAACACGTTTTTAATACGTGCTTTTTAGATATGGATATTTTCAATTGCAAATTTATGCATCCATATTCAATGCGTTATTGAGCAGTTCGGCGTGTATTATTAATTTGTGATGAAATCGAATTGTGCAAAAACAGCACAATATATAGAGATACTAACACAAAGAATAAGCTATAGGTTATTGGGGAAAAACATTCCCGCAACAGCCCATCATAAGCCTGGAGGTCATGGAGGTTAAGTAACTAAAATTTCTTGACAAACGGCATAATATTGGCAATCAGCATTGCGTAACGACCACTTTAACTTCCCATACAAGCTGTCACCTCTCGATCTGAAGCTGGGTGGGGTTACTAATAAAATGAACACAATTAATTAGTCACTTTTATTATTCAATGTATTACGCTTGCAAATGTGGAATGTTGAAGGAAATATTTTTGCTAGATATCATTATTTCTCACTTACACTGGCAACGATATTCTGTCTGCTCTAATAAAAGGATTGTAAAGGGAAAATAATGTAAAAGAAAATTTTATTACTATTTTTTGCAAACTTTTTATTTTATTTTCCATGTCGAGGATTGAAGAAATATAGAGAAGAATACAAAAACGATAATAAATACAAACAAATTAGTAATAAATATAAAAAGGAATATAAAAACGATAATAAGCTTATCTTTAAACGTAGCGTTATTAGGTAATATAGAAATACTTAACAACTCTATCAGTTTTAAACTTTCAGTTTAGAAAACAGTCCAAATCAAAAACGTTATAATAACAGAGTAAAATAAGACAGTAAATGTTACAGGTTATTATTCAACCAATACGAGAGGAATATTAACTGTTAATGTGGAATTCCTTGTAAGGGTGTTTACTGCAAGGCTTGCATATCTGCAGTGAAACAGATTTACAGAAGGAGCAGTGAAGTAGGGCATCATGGGATTTTTCTACTATTTGCTATTCAAATAATAATATTTTTTTAATTTTGTTTTTAGGAATACTTTTGGTTAAAGAATTAAAAAAAAAAGGCAGAGCAGAATAAAATTAAAAAGTTGGGTATCTCGCCAGGAGCTGAGTTACACTTGAACAAAAGAACAGCTATCGATCTTTAGACTTTGTCATTCATTGTTTGAAACATGATCTGAATGGTTCTGTAAAAGTGATTAGCCAAGCAACTACTTCAGTTAGACGAAAATATTATCTCAAAAGTAAGTGATTTTTTATTTGAAATACGTAATTTTCTGCGCCTTAAATCTTCAAATCAAAATGACATTGGAAAGGTAAAACAGAATAAATTATATCTGTCTACTCTAGAATAACATAATATCGATATTTGAAGTAGCACATAATCAAAATTTTTTTCCTTATCATTATTCCTTTTAATGTTTTTTCAGCTTGCAAAGAATCATTGGGTTAACTGCCATTAGGGTGGATTGCGTCATCTGGTGGATAACAGAATAATTCACATGAGATTCTAATAGTTTTCGTGCTTCGTGTTTTTAGTTTGTAGGCTTAAAATAAAACGATTGCTTTTATTCGAATGGCCTGACTGCGCTACTCTGTGACAGAGCTTTGATGGTGTAATAATATTAGTTACTCGTAGCTAGATAACTGGATTTAAGTTGGATGGACAAAGAGTTAAGTAAGATTTAAGTTAAATGGACAAAGTTACTTTGTAATTAATCAAGTGACTATGAATTAAAAGGTTGATTTTCTTTCATTAATGTCAAACAATTTAGTGTAGCCGATGAAATGACTCTTTTTTTAAAAATTAAACTTTAGATAAACGATTAAACTTAACGTTCGAATTTTTGAAAACTTTAAAGTGCTACGGGAACGCCCTAATTTCTTACAAACTAGCAGAAATCAATTGTCATGTGAACAAATGTCTAATTATCTGGTTAAATTTAAAAAATGGCTATTAAATTTCATTTGTATTGTCTCCTGTCGCTTTCAAGTATTTTATCGGAGGGTGGCCAAGCCTATTGCTTCTAATTGATTTTATATAATATTCTATTCCCCATCCATTGTTTATTATGTCGTTACTCATTACGTCACTTGGTATGTCCTCCATTACAACTTTTTGAACACGCTGCATCTCAGAATTCTATGATAATTTTATACTAGCAATAAAGAATCCTGAAAGTTTTTACCTTTAATTGTTTCCTACTTAATTTACAAGGTATGTAATTTTTTATTTTTAAAATAGATATTTATGAGAAAGCTAGAGAATGTCTAGAAACAATTATGAAACTAAAAAAAAATCTCTTATTTAGTTCTCTTTTTATTCTTAAAGAAAATAAAAAACTGAAAATTGCAATTTTGACTGAAAAAATTTACTTCGATATTATTAATTCGTTCGATATTATTCGTTCATTGATATCATAAAAATACGAACAATTAGAAATTGTTCTAAAAAAGGAAGTTGCTAAAGATAATTTTAAAAAAAGTCAATAAACAAAAATAAAGTTGTTATTCTAATAACTAAATAACTTCTAGTTACTGAAATCGGAATATTCTTTAGTTGATTAAACATACTTTTATTTTGTAGTTATGGATAATTTTTATTCAAACATAAAACGTTAAAGGAGCAATAAGAGTAATGCAATTAACTGCAGATTTAAACTCTAAAAGAATTTTTTGTTTTCAATTTCATGCTATCTCAACTGAAACTTTTTGTATTGAACCAAGTTTATTTTTCTCAAGTTCTTATATTTTATTAAAAAGGCCACAAACATTAATAAAGGTTTAGGTTAAGAAAGACTTAAAGCAGTATCAGTTCCATTGCTAAGTACAAGTTCATCATAATACAAAGAAAAAATTTAACAAGAATGGAAACAAGTTTTATTTTATTTCTCTCCTTTTTTTTAAAAAAAACTGAATACTAAGCAGTTTAAAAGTCAGCTATCAGTTAGATCTATCAGTTAGAGTACTACTTAAATATTTCGTACTTAAGAAGAAAATATTTGTCAATAATGAATTAATATCAATTTTACTTAAAAAAAAATATGCCCAAATTTTTAGAACACTTGCAAAATACCTGGATTAAATGACAGTAATTTTAGACTTATGCTCCAATAAAGGTTATAATTATTCAAATCTTACGAATAGAAATTCTCATGCGTATTATTTTTTGTACTGTCATTATTTTGTTTCTTCCAATTCCTTAATATCTGCGAATTTTACAATGAAAAAACAAAACATTATTATGAAATTAACATTTTTATAATGAAAAAAAAATCATTTGAAAATTCATTATGGGGAAAAATAAAGTAGAATAAAAACTTCTGTTTAGTAGTTTTAAAATATAAAGGGCTGTGTGGCGCAGTGAATTTTTCATTTAAAAATAATGTAAACATTTTTAGCTTCCTATTATTGTTGATAAATAGTAGCATAACATTTAATATTTTCTGACTAAAAGTCACAAGACTGTGCCGAATTGTGCCAATTTGTGGATGATTAGTGTTCACAAAATAAGTAAATAAATATATAAAAATAGAAATTGCTATTTTTTTATCAGTTTTAATAAAAACAATTAAATAAAACAAGAAGAAAATACATATGAAAAATGGGGTTCAAGTATTTGCTTGAGTATTATGCTCAAGTATTTAAAAAAATTTTTAGAATATTCTTAAAATATTTTAATGACATTAATATTATGAACTTTTCTATCAGAAAAATTTTCAAATGTTTTAGATTTCTGAAGATCTGAAGTCTGTTTCAGTGAGACATTTTTTCCCCTTTAGTTTATCTTTGTTGAAGTAATAAATTCTCAGTAGCATTTATTTATTTATTTTTATATCTATTATGCATTTTCTTGAACACAGCCTCTACTACATTTTCTTGAACACAGCCTACACTCTAGCAATAATAAATATTATTAATTTTTGTCAAAATCTTTTAATAATTCATTAACTCACGATTCATTAGCTCAATTCATTAATTAATTTTGTTAAAAATAATCTTGTAAAAAAATTTAATTCCAAAAAAAAAAGAAAAAAAAAGTTATAATAAGTAAAATAAAACACCATAGCTAATCAAAGTAACTTGATTTTGCGGGGAAAAAATTCAAATTCTTTCGGCATTTAAAATAAATTTTAATATCTCTAAACGATTTTAAAAAAAATGAAAATTATAAAATGAGCTAGCAAATTTTATTTGTTTTCAGCATATTGTAATTGATAATTTATTATAATTATAATCGATAATTTAATCGAAGTCAAATTAAAATGCTCTGTGAAAAGATGTTTCAACGTTAAGAACAACTACTTTCATTTCACTGTTTAATTAAAATTCAATTTTTATTGAAATCTCCCCCCAATTTGGTGAAAATCCTTACAGTGAAAATTAAGTAACGTGTAGCGCTGTGATCGTGCCTTTACGTTAGCACGTTTTCTCCTGGAATCTATTTTTATCATTTCTAGGTTTGGTCCGTGAGAAATAACGAAGGATTTTCCCTGATATATTTACTTTTCTATGTAGAGATGAGGCTTTATCATGANTTACAAATTAATTGGATTATGAGACAATTACAATAACTAATAGTCTGCATTGAAATGATAAAATACCGATTTTTCTATATATTCAATTATTTTTTATCTCTCACAGCACCTTCTATGGGCCGAAACGAATGTTGCCCCCTAAAATTATTCCTCATAAGGCATACATCCCACTAATTTATTTAAAAATTGGCGAGTCACACTTCCCTAGTTTCCCTTGTAAGTTTATTTTTCTCAAGTTCTTATATTTTATTAAAAATTCCACAAACATTAATAAAGGTATAGGTTGAGCAGTATCAGTTCCATTGCTAAGTACAAGTTCATCATAATACAAAGAAAAAATTTAACAAGAATGGAAACAAGTTTTATTTTATTTCTCTCCTTTTTTAAAAAAACTGAATACTAAGCTGTTTAAAAGTCAGCTGTCAGTTAGATCTATCAGTTAGCTACTTAAATATTTCTTACTTGAGAAGAAAATATTTGTCAATAATGAATTAATATCAATTTTACTTTTAAAAAAAAATAATATCAAACTTTTAGAACACTTGCAAAAAACTAGATTTATGCTCCAATAAAGGTTGTAATTATTTAAATCTTACGAATAGAATTTTTCACGCGTGTTATTTTTCGCACTATCATCATTTTGTTTCTTCCTATACCTTAATATCTACGAATTTTACAATGAAAAAACAAAACATTATTAAGAAATTAACATTTTTATAATGAAAATAAAATCATTTGAAAATTCATTATGGGGAAAAATAAAACCTAAATTTCCTCTGTTTAGGTAGTTTTGAAATATAAAGGGCTGTATGGAGCAGTGGATTTTAAATTTAAAAATAATGTAAAAATTTTTAGCTTTCTACTATTGCCTGCCTATAAATAGTAGCATAACATTTAATATTTTCTGACTAAAAGTCACAGGACTTTGCCGAATTGTGCCAATTTGCGGATGATTAGTGTTCGCAAAATAAGTAAATAAATAAATAAAAATAGAAATTGCTATTTGTTTATCAGTTTTAATAAAAAAATTAAATAAAACAAGAAGAAAATGCATATGAAAAAATGGGGTTCAAGTATTTGCTCAAGTACTATGCCCAAGTATTTAAAATAATTTTAGAGTATTTTAATGACATTAATATTATGAATTTTTCTACCAGAAAAATTTTCAAATGTTTTAGATTTCTGAAGATCTGAAGTCTTCTGTTTCAATGAGACATTTTTTCCCCATTAGTTTATCTTTGTTGAAATAGTAAATGTTCAGTAGCATTTATTTACATATTTTTATATCTATTATGCATTTTCTTGAACACAGCCTCTGCTTTGCAGTAATACATATTATGAATTTTTGTCAAAATCTTTTAATAATTCATTAATTCACGATTCATTAGCTCAATTCATTAATTAATTTTGTTAAAAATATTCTTGTAAAAAACTTTAATTCCAAAAAGGGAAAAGGAAAAAAATTATACTAAGTAAAATAAAACAGCTAATCAAGGTAACTAAATTTTGCGGGGAAAAATCAAATTCTTTCGGCATTTAAAATAAATTTTAATATCTCTAAACGATTTTTAAAAAAAATGAAAATTATAAAATGAGCTAGCAAATTTTATTTGTTTTCAGCATATTGTAATTGATAATTTATTATAATTATAATCGATAATTTAATCGAAGTCAAATTAAAATGCTCTGTGAAAAGATGTTTCAACGTTAAGAACAACTACTTTCATTTCACTGTTTAATTAAAATTCAATTTTTATTGAAATCTCCCCCCAATTTGGTGAAAATCCTTACAGTGAAAATTAAGTAACGTGTAGCGCTGTGATCGTGCCTTTACGTTAGCACGTTTTCTCCTGGAATCTATTTTTATCATTTCTAGGTTTGGTCCGTGAGAAATAACGAAGGATTTTCCCTGATATATTTACTTTTCTATGTAGAGATGAGGCTTTATCATGATGCCCAATCATAAGAATTGATGGAGCTCAATTTTTCTTATCGACTTCATCTTACTGATTGATTTTTCCAAACTTTCGAGACTGACTATAATGCATGTACACTTTCTCTGCATTCAATAAAGAAAACTATTTTGCTAAACGTCGCACCGTTTAACGTAAAGAATTATATATTAAAATTATTTAGAAGAAGTAAGTTTGTTCTGTCTATCTTTTTTTTAAATTTGCTCTTAAATAGTGCATATATTTTTATATGCTAATAAATTCAGTTATAATTACTCATATATGAGTTAAAATATTAAAATAGACTTGTAATAATTACCAAGTTGTCTTATGAACTAAAATAAAGAGGACATCAGTCATTCTGTAGTTAAAATGCACGTGCTATTCCATCAGAAATAGATTTTCTAATCATCAAAAGGCAATTTTTTTTTTAAATATTCTAAAAAAATTAGGATTAGCAAAATGGACATACAAATCAGGATCGTAATCTCTGCTTTGAGAATAATCTTGCCTTCGAGATAACTATGGAGTATTTTCTTTTTTTTGCTTTTTTGCAAATGTAAAGCAAATGTGAGCTTGTTTCAATTCTGATGTCCTCCATGAAAGTGAATTTGTTGTAAAACTTTACCAAAAAGTTCTCTTGTATTTATTCAATTTTCTTATTATTTATTTACTTATTTTTGGTAAAATGTAAGTTCTATCTATTTATTTAGCAAGAATTTTGCTTGAAATGAAAAAGAAAAATATTCTCATTTAATCATTTAGAATTAACTTTGTTTTGTAAATGTACATACATTGGAAGGTTTATTTCCATTTTCTTTCTTTTTCATTAGTAGATTGACGATTAATACAGACTAAATTTAATGTTTTGAAACGTAAAAAAAATGCATTAAAATAAAAAATAAAGATTATAATTTTTTTTTCTTGTACATTTTTTGCAACATATATCAAAACTAGTTTAGTATAATTTTAATACACTTTCCATAGGTGCAAATATTTATTCTTTAGCACTAAACTTATCATAACGAGTCAAATGACCGTTTAAGAACTTTTGCATCGGATCAAGCTCGACATAGTTTTGGCTCAAGTGTATGAAGACGTGGCACTGTCCTCCAAAACAACTGAACACACTACAATTATTAGAGGAACTGCAGCTGGTTTTCAAACAAGTAGCAAAATGGACCGGAAAACTGTGAATTTAAGTAATATTAATCCTAATATTAAATTAATGGAATTTGCCGTACTTGGTCCTCTAGAAATACGTACAGGAGAAATTGAAAAAGAATTATTAAAGGTTTGTTATCCCACTGGCTGTATTGCAATCAGTATTTTTTTTAATGATTATATATATATATATATTCAGTCAAACTTCGATATCTCGAACTTGAAGGGAGAGGAGAAAAAATTCGAGATACCGAAAATTCGAATTATCGAAAATCGCATGTTATCGATGGTAGAATAAAGAAAAATGATCTTTACATACCTTATTTACTATTCCATATGTATTCTAAAAACACTTTTTACACTTTCATTCAAAAAAAGATCTCCTCAAAATAAGATTGTTAAAAATAATTTGAATGGCTGAAACACATTTAAAAATATTAAATGCATATCAAGAGTAATAAAGCAAATTTAATTTCTGAAGAACTTTTTAATTCCATAAGAAAGAATAAAAAAGCAGTTAACTTGTAAAAGCGAATTTAGAATCGAAAAAATTAAATGCAATTACAAATCAGCAATGTTGGCAAAAAAATTTATATTAAAATTAGAAATAGTGAATGCCAATATCTGATCAAGAGATGTCATTCAGTTGATGCATCTTGTTTTATGAAACCCCTCGTTTTATCATTCTTAATAATAATCGATAATTTCCAGCGTTAATACAATACCAACTGTTATGAATGTGTTACGTTATCAAATTATTATTNATTATTCATTGTTAGCTTATTTTTTTGCTAGTTATCATTTGTTAATTTGCTTCGATAACTTTCAATTGTATAGCTTACTTTAATGATTAGCTTTTATTTCCGCTTGAAAGTTAATATTTAGCTTTATTGCTTGTGTTAATTAATAATTTTTCTAGTCATTAAATTATCTACTTATTTCAAAATTTTTTAAAATTGCGAAAGACAATTTAAACGCTTCCTTCTAATTTTTACTTATTTTAAGATTGTCAGAGACAAGACATTCGTTGACAAAGATGTTCACGCGGTTAAAGCCCGGAAGAATTATAAATAGTCTATATATATATATATATATATATATATACACTTTAATTTCAGTGTTTTAAAATAACAAATCTAACTTCTTTGCCATATTTTCAGGTATTATTTGCTCTTTCTTTAATTATGCTTTTAAGTGCATCTCTCTAAAATATCTCCCCATGAATCTGAAAAACTTGTTTTTGCATTAGGTAACTTTTTAATTCTGGTTTCTTCCCTGTTTAAACTGGTTAGGTTTATGCTAACCAGATTTAAGACAAATTGATTTTGTGTGCTTGCTACCAAGATTTCTGTTTCGCTCTGCAGAAGCTTTTTACATATTCGTAAAAAGCATCTGCATGCCCGCAACGAATAACCCTGCAAAGCCCGCAACGAATAACCCTTCACACAGTTAATTAATTATTGCTTACCACATATCAGCGCAAAATATTCTTTCCCCTATGATTTAAATTTGCTTTTGCTTTCAAAGTTAAGAATTTTGAGTCACAAAAAATAGACACAAAAAATTAAGGAGTTAGGGGACCAAATTTCGAAAAATGCGAGTTTTTTTAAAATTATTTCTCAGGATTTATTTGACCGATTTTGCTTAAATTTTGTATTTTGACATGTAAAATTACATTCTTTCAAGTGATGAAAAAATTTTATACCTTACATTGATAAAGTTTTTCAACTTTCATTAAATGAAGCAATAATAAATGTTTATTAAAAGTTATATTTTGCATGAAATTATCTTCAGAAAAATGAAGTGGAATTGCTTGGATTGATTGATATGATTGGAATTGTATGCAAAACTTTTTAAATTCGCTTAAAAGAAATTTTTTGGATACAGTGAAATGCGCAAAAATTATAGTTGACATTAAAGGGTTCTAACTTTCAAGCGCGCTCCCGAAAAAACAATTAAAACAATATTTACAGATTGAAGCTACTGTGTTTTGGGGGGTCAGAAATCCGAATCCGTCGTAAAAAGGTATGTTTAATCAGAGAAAGTACGTTTTTATGTCTAATTTCCAAACTTAAAATATCGTTTGCACTAATTAATTAGTATATTCTACGTCACCCTCTCGAATTAATGAAGAATGAGTCCTAGAAAATGAAGATCCGAACTTTAGATCAAAAGTTATTCCGGTGGCTCTATTTATTTTGTTGTGCACTGTACATTCATTTGAATTATATATCAATATTGCTGAAAATAGCAAAATATTTTTTCATTTTCATATAGAAGGGTAATTTAGCTGGTGGTTATCCGCATATTTATGCTTTGATAACTTTAAGGATTATGATTGATTGGAAGAGGAAAATAAGGTGAAATGATGTTCAATATTAATATCAGATATAAATAAATGAAAACGTCTTTCATTTTGTCTTCTTGCATTAATTTTAATGATAGAAATATGCATTTTCCTCAAAAGAATTTTTGCCGCTATTGCGGAAAGGTAATATTTTTTTTTATCTCGTTTTAAACAAGAAATTTTTATATCTTAAATATTAATGTTTTGAAGGTATCGTAATATCAGATATCACGAAATATGAATCTCGATATATCAAGCTTTCACTGTACTTTAATTTGCAGAAATATGAAAGGAAATTTTGGTTTAACACTAAACATACCAACACTTAATATATAACCTATTTCTACCATAGCCGGTCAAATGCCCGGATTTAATGTTTCTTGATTGAATGTATGAAATATGGATGTTAGGAAGGAAATAAACTAAAAAAAAACTTTATTATAATTAAACAAAATTGTATATTGCCAATTTTGATGTATTGCAAACACCATGAATAAGAATTTTTATTTCATTGCTCAACGCATTTTTTACATATACAGGTTGTTTCCATTGTACATTTTCCACACGCATATTTCTTCTAATTATTATTATTTCCATAATTTTTATAATTATTCTTATAATTATAAGAATTATAATACTTATAATTTTTATTATTTATATTATTTCTTATAAGAACTTGTGTTGTCTTGATTGTTTCGACATTTTTCTGGGTAAAAACTGTTAGACTATGAATTTCAATGAACAAGGTTCGAGTAACAGTCAGAGATCACGAGTTCGAAAAACCTCTGAAGGAGGGAGTTCGAACATTTAAAAATAGTTTAAAGACAGAATTTGCATAGTATTAATTTTGAGTGTGTAAGTACCCTCATTATACAACTGTTATTATGTATATACTATATATAACAAATCAAGATTGGATTTGGAGTTTTTGTTTCGTTTGATTTTCATGACTGTATGTTATTGAATTCGTTACCTCATGTTATGGAGAGGATTGTTTTCCTTTATGATGCTTCAGTTAAGTTATGATTTTTCTTGCTAAATAAAATTTCTGATTAGTTGAAAGATGGCTTTTTCATTATGCTTGCTAAGCATTTTCCACAACGCACTGAACTCTGCCAGCAAAAACTAGTAGTTAGTTAGAAATGAAGTAAAGCTATCAAAATAAAATATAAGCTACTTGCCAAAACATTTAGTTTTTGTCACTTTTTCTTACACAAAAATGCCAATCTAAAATTTTAGGTACTTTCTAGAAATTTGAATTCACAGTTATTCTGATTGAACTAACTACGCAACAGTCTTTGCAGAAATGTGCAACTAATCGAATGCAATACGTTGAACACGTAATTTCTGATCCGATAACCTTATAAAGCAATAAATTGTTCTCCCGGTCAAATGACCGGTTGTGCTAGACATTGGTGTACGACAAGTATTATTCGAAATAGACAAAATACAAAAAATAATAATAAAAGAATATTAACTGTATATAATTGTTAGAAAAAGTCATGAAGTCAAATGTGCAAAGCCGATAAGATAATGAGCTCATTTTCGAAGCATAAGTTCTTAAACGGTCATTTGCCTGATTATGGTATGTTTAGTGTTAAAGAATAAATATTTGCACCTATGGAAAGTGTATTAAATTTATACTAAACTAGTTTTGATGTATGTTGCAAAAAATTTCCAGGAAAAAAAAATCACAATCTTTATTTTAATTGAATTTTTTTAATGCGTTTTTTTAAGTTTTAAAACATATTAAATTTAATCTGTATTAATCTTCAATCTACTAATGAAAAATAAAGGGATTAAACCTTGCAATGTATGTACATTTACGAAACAAAAATAAGTTAATTCTAAATGATTAAATGAGAATATTGTTCTTTTTCACTTCACAAAAAAATTGTTGCTAAATAAATAAATAGAATTTGCATTTTACAAAAAATAAGTAAATAAATAATAAAAGAATTGAATTCGATTAATTTCTTGGAAGACTTAAGGTTTTTACTTTATTTTAGTACTGGTATTAATTCATGCAGATGATTTAATGCTTTTAACACGAAAACCCGTAGTTTAGCTACTTTGAACCGAACTTAGAGTACAAGCGACTTTCAGTCTGGAGGAGTTCCCCTCAAAGCCTCACTATAAGTTGGTGGTAAAGTACAAAAAAAAGAGAACACATTTTCGTCTTTAAGTTTTTAATTTATTTTCATTTACAAGAAGTAAAAATTTTTTCAAAAAAAATATTAAATAAAAGAACTAGATTTTTTTAAGAATGTAATTATATTTCTTTTCAACACGGTAGCATTTTCCCAACGATATTTAAATTCGTCCCAACTGGCGCTGCTCATGCTTTAGAAATGCTTATTTTACTTTAACTAAAGAGGCAATTAACACTTTATTTATAATATTTTATTTCCTATTTGTTAATTTACATATAAATTAAATATTTTTTTGCGCATATTTTGTAGAAATTGATTTGCTTTGTTCAGACCTATTTTTGTAATGTTTTGTTGTTGTGTATTAAATGTAATCTTTAAAAAGTTATTGATGTAGTTATCTTATTCTCTACTTAATTATTTTCCAGTTTTAATATTAAGATTTTGAAATAAAGGGAAAAATTTACAAGATGTTAGGAGATTAGAAATTTGTTGCCATGCCTTGAATCCCATCAATTATAAGTGTTTAAAAGTAATTGTGCAATTATAAATACTATTAAAAAACAATTTATTTTCAACTCTAAAAATACATCACTGATAGCATCATCCTTAGTGCACTCTGACTACAACATGAGTTTGTAGATCTCTTTCAGAGATCTTCATAAAGAGCTCTCTAAATAAGAGCCTCACACACATGAGTTTGCAGATCTCTTTCAGAGATCGTCATAAAGAGCTCTCTAAATAAGAGCCTCACACACATGAGTTTATAGATCTCTTTCAGAGATCGTCATAAAGAGCTCTCTAAATAGGAGCCTCACACAAATATTTTGAAAACATTTTAATCAACTTTTTTATTTCGTTAGTATTTTTCGTTTTTTATATTGTTCTTGTTTCCTTTAATTTTTTTTCCACACTGGTACAGAACTTTGCCGCTGGGAGAGGTTTTGATGGTCTCTCTTAAGGTTTTCTTCAACACAAGGTTAATGGAAAAAATTATGCATCTCTCAAAAGTGGTCATAAATAGAGGAGGTCACTACATAGAGGTGGTCTCCCCTGGAGATTTCACTGTATTTAATATTTTGTAAATTTAGTTTTTATCTCATGTGTATAATTTTATTGTATCTATTTAATTTTTCTCAATTATAGTAGTAAAGTTAATATAGGTTTATTAAGCTTTGCTAACGTCGCCTAACTATGTGTGAGAAAAATTGAAATTTTTCTTCTATTTTAAATGTTTTAAGTTTGTTTATTTATTTCAGGGTATTAAAAAACCTTTCAATGATGTCATCAGAGGTAATCTTGGAGATTGTCATCGTATGGGTCAGAGACCCATTACATTTATTAGACAAGTAAAAAGATATTTTTTTAAAACTTTTATTTCTTTTTCATCTGACGCTTGTTAATTTTAATATTGTTTTGTTAACCAGTGGGAATTTTTATAAAATTAGTATTTTATAAAATGCTGACATTTTTTATGCATATAATTTGCGCTGAATTGGTTATTGTAAAATAGGAAAATAACAGTTTGGTTCTGAAAAACAGTGTAACTGTAAAGTATTGTATCAAAAGTATTGTATTGTAATTGAAAACCTATGCAAACATTGCAGAAAATATTTTTTTAATTATCATCCAAATTTTCGTTATTTCAGGCTATGTATGAATTATTATTTTAGTAACAAAACCTGTTAACATTAAAATACACAGTTATCTATAAATACTTTAAAAAAATTCATAATTAATCATCTGTTTTTTTTATGACTTAGCCTGTTTCATTTTATGTTAAGGTATCTTATTGTTTTTATTCTTTATAATTTTTTTTCTTTATAGTTTAGGGAAGATAATGTAATTTTAGATTTAATTATTATATATCTCAGAATTATACTTTGAGTTTTAGAGTTATGTAATACTTATTTTGAAAATAATATTCCCTTACATGCCAGGGAGTATGGATATTCCCATCGGGCATGCATATATGTATCGCGCATGTTAATAACATGTTAAAGGGCATGTATTTGCAGAAAGTACTTCATAATTTTGATATTATTTAATTAATAATAATAGTCTGCTTTCGCTGCATGAATGTATACTCTTCTTGCTAAAAATACCTGAAAGTAAAAGTTTTGATGTAGATATGATGTTAATGCCATTTCTGTGACAGAATAATAATTACATTTATGTGTAATTGTTATGCAACTGAAAAAGAGGTTTGGGCTTGTTGAAGTTTACAAAAGTTACACAATTTTGGGTACATATTTTGGTTAACATGCCTTACAATTTAATGTGTAAAAATTTTGAGATACATATAGATTTAGTATCTGTTAGCAGTGTAATTATACTAAAATGGAACAAATATTTAAACCTATCTAATATTTACCTACCTGGAATTCTAAATTCAAACAAATTTGTGTTATATATGAGCAATAAGTGCTCATTTTTGTAATTTAAAATTTAAACAATATTGTGCATTAAATAACAATACTTGAGCATTTAAGAAATAACTTCGGATTGATGTGCTCTGTTTTCTTTTAGGTTCTGGTCTTGTGTACAAATCCGGAGTTAATGAAGGATGCTCGTTTCCCAGAAGATGTCAAGAAAAGAGCTCAAGATCTTTTAAAGGAATGTAGTGGTGACAGCATTGGTTTGTAATTTATTTACGTATCTGACTTAAGAATTATAGAAGCTTTTAGTGTGAAGTTATGCTGCATCAATTGTTACTAGATGTGTTGTAAATATATGTTGCTGTAGGTTTTACAATCTGTTCTGATGTTACGTGTTTATCATGTTTCTTTTTTATTTTTATAACTTGAACTAAATTATTTTATGACACAAAATCGGTGACCTAGATCAAATTTTTTTTTTTGCTAAATTGTATTACATAATAATATTAGTTAATAAATAAATAAATTAAATAAAAAAATCTGAGCTATTTTATGAAAAACATATTAAAATCTAATTCAGATTATTCAGTTCTATTTGTTATTAAGAAATTGGTAAGTGGTAAAGCTATTACATTCACTGATTTTTTATTTGTGAAATAGTAATTTCAGCTCCATATGTATATAATTTAATTTTAGTGTAAGAGATTAAAATGAAACAGAAAACACCGCCTGTTGATATAGTTGAGTCCACCCAGTTGAGGAGCCAAATTATAGAGGTCTATAGTTTGGTTGTCTTCTCTAAGATACGTAACCTTAGAGGAGATATTAGGGTATGGTTTAATCTATTGTTTGTCTATGCCAGTCTATTGTTTCGGCCCTAAAATATTCATAGCTGGCGGTCGCATCGTAATTAGATTAGATTTTACATTTCTCTAGACATATGTCAATTTAGCATTAATGGCTATGTGTAAGCAGTGTAATGCCATATGTTTACAACAGAGATCAGAATTTTTTAAAGGAAAAGTACCAAATAATACTACAGGGATGTCTGTGATCCAAAAATTTTTTGATGCAAGTTGCAAAAATTTTGAGTTGCTATTTACCAAAAATACTACGAAGATTTCTACAAAAGAAAAATATTTGTTTTAAAACATTGTCATACATTACTTCAAGGCTTCATATTCTACGTTGACATTTCTCAAGTTTCTGTCATTTGGATTGACAAGTTACATTTATTTTTAAATTGATCTATTTGTTATAAAAATATGTAAACATTTATTTCTTATTCTGTACCAGAGTTTTATAATAATTTTTTTTAAAAAATTTGTTATTTAAAATAGATAAAATTTACTTGTTTAATATAAAAGAAGAGTATTGTTAATTTTTTAGGGAGGTGTGTGTGTGTGTGTATAGAGTAAGCTTTCACATACACTGGTGGACAAAATTAAGAGATGGAAAGCAAACCACTCCATATGTTTGACAATGGTTCCGTGAATGCCCAGAGGTACATGCAGGAGGTCCTTGAGCCCTATGTGCGTCTTTTCAGGGGCGCTGTTGACCCTGAGTTCATTTTTATGGACGACAATGCGCGACCACATAGGACTCTCATGTTTGATGAGTGTCTGGAAAGCGAGGATATTCAACGAATGGATTGGCCAGCCAAATCCCCTGACCTGAATCCTATTGAACATGCTTGGGATGCTCTTGGGAGAGCTATTGCGATGCGCCAACGTCCTCCCAGAACCATTCTGGAGTTAAAAATTGCTCTGGTGGAAGAATGGGAGGGTCTTCCACAAGTCCTCCTTAACTTCCTTATTAACAGCATGCATACTGGCTGTGCATGCTGTCTGTCTGTCAGGGGTGATCATACACCATACTAGAGGCAACACACACTGTACAAGCCTCACTTTTATTGTCATCTTTTATCCTTAAGTTCAGACTACATTGGATTTATTGGCA